GGCATAACCCCTGTTTTCACTGTATTTGATGTTGATATAATTTGTGGAAGGGAAGGGAAAAAATCAAATTGTTTAAATAGGGATACAGGTGGACCCATTGCAAAAATGAAATACAGGACGTTACTGTGAAAAAGGAACTTTACAACTTTGGCCAGTGGGAGTAGGGTGGGGTTGGGGAACTTCGGGAAATTGGGAGTGGTGTGGGTACATGGGAAGGGACCAGAAGGTGAAACAAAGGAGGAGTCAACAATGCTTGATAAGAAATGTGCTCATTACCTTGCCCATGTGATTATAACCCCTCTGTACGATATTTTCACAAAAAAGCCTCAGTGAATGTATACATATGATCAATTAAAATTATGGTTTATTTCTTTTGTTTTTTGCTTTTTATTTTTTAATCTCCTTTCTGGCTGTTTTTGTTTTCTGTACTGTTTGTCTTGTATATAAATTTTGTTATTTTGAAGAGAGTAAGGTATGACATAGGAATGGTGGGACAAATGGTCAACAAATGCAGCAGTAATACTCACTAGACACTGTTGAAAATGAACTACACAACTTTTGGGGCAAGGATCAGGAGGAAGAAAAGGGAGAAAATGGGGGAAGGGGCAACACTGTTCAAAAATTAATGTACTTATTACCTGTCTTATATAACTGTAATCACTTTGTACATCACCTATACAATAAAAATAGGAAGTGAAAAATAATAAGAGAGTAGTTTATTTTGAGAAGATCAAGCAGATCCAAACTTTCCAAAATGGAGGTACAAAATCTTTATTTTGTCTCTATGTTTTTTAAGTTAATAACAAATTCATGATTCCATTTGACTTCCAAAAGGGGTCTGACAGTGGCATTGAGAAATAATAATAATTAATGTGATATTCAGCATGAAAAAGAGATTAATTTTCTGATAGCTAGATTGCAATATTGGATGTATTGTTGAGAGATGAGTAGAAATAAGTTGTTACAAAGTTCTAATTTCCTGAAGAAAAAAAGTTCACAATACAAAAATAATAAATATTTAAGGTGGTGAACTAACTTGTTAATTAACTCCTTTAGATCATTGCACAATGTGTGCAAATACAAAAATTATCTTGTACTTCAAATTAGATTATACTGTGGTAATCAGTAATTGTTTTAAAAATTTTAATGACTTTATCATATAATATTATTTTTCAAAAATCTTTTTCACAAGCTATTTTGTATTAGCCTTGCATCTTCTATATACTCTTCTGTAATTCAGGTAGGAGAAAAAACAAAATGCTTAATAGGGATACAGGTTGACCCATTGTAACAGTGAGATATACAAGACACTATGTTAAAAACAAAATTTACAACTTTTTCAGGGCTGGGGGTGGGGGGGTAATTGTGTAGGTAGGAGGAAAGGGATGATAGGGGAAAAACAAAGGAGGAGGAAACAATGCTCGATAGGAAATGTACTCATTACATTGCTCCTGTAACTGTTACCCCTCTGTACAGTATTTTTACAAAAGTAAGTACAAAAAATGTTAACATGTCACTTGAAATAACATTTTTAATAAAGGGTTTGATTAACTGAAGAAAAAAATTCTTGATTACAATAAATCAATGTTGAATATAATGAACGAACCTGTTAATTATGCTGTTTAAGTCATTGTAAAATATATGAACATACCCAAACGTCATATTGTACTTCAGATACAATTATATTTTGGCAATAAAACTTATCTTAAAATTTTAACGACTATTTTTTTCTTTACAAAATCTTTCCAAAAATCTTCAAAAGCTATATTAACTTACTTTTAAAAACCTGTTATGGGCCGGGTGTTGGAGGTGCCATTGGAGCCAGCTTGGTTTGTAAGCCCTGGTGAGCAGCTAGAGAGGGATAGATTTCAAAATGTTTAATGGAAGATAAAATAAAATATATGCAATAAAGTAAAATACTCTGAGTTTTATGGACTGGCTACTGGTCTTTTCATTGGTGCCCTGTGCACTGTTTATGAATGGCTGCCCTCCTTCTATTCTGAATGCTCTTAAACTTAAGCATTGCCTCCCTCTA